TGGTTGAAGAGTAGTTGGCTGGATTAAACCAACTCTTTGAACTCTTCAGCCGAAGTATGGGCATGGCTGAAGAGTGGTTGGCTGGATTAAACCAACTCTTTGAACTCTTCAACCGAAGTATGGGCATGGCTGAAGAATGGTTGGCTGGATTAAACCAACTCTTTGTACTCTTCAGCCGAAGTAAGGGCATGACTGAAGAGTGGTTGGCTGGATTAAACCAACCCTTTATACTCTTCAGCCGGAGTAAGGGCATGGCTGAAGAGTGGTTGGCGGGATTAAATAACTCTGTGTACTCCTCAGCCGAAGTATTTATGTCGGCTAAGGAGTGGTTGGCTGGTGAGCATAGCTAGTTTAACCATCTAAAACCGGAATAGCAGTTGGAGTAATAGAAGACATTACAAGCGCAAGCATACACATCAAAACCGGAATAAGAGTTCAAGCAAAATTTTCATTCATTGAAAAGCAATTACAGAGGGGCGTAGCCCAGTTACAAAGACAAAAGGTAACAAAAAAGAGAAAAAATACAAAATCAAGAGAAAAGGTCTTCAATTTCGGCATCAAAAGCTGCATCGGCATCATCACGAAGACCGGTTTCAGCCGGGAGCTCGCTCATGGTTGCAAGGGTAGTTTCGGTCGGAACCACGGTTTCCCCTGGACGTTCAATAGTCAGGTCTTCCACCATGGGCTCCAACCGAACTGTCTGATCCACATTGACAACCGGAGTATCCTCAGAGGCTGAATCTTCATCAGAGTCTGAGCCTTCAAGAAACTGCTGTTGCATGGCATTAGCATACTCCACAAGGGAGTTCGGTATGAAGTAGGCTGGAGGGTTGAAAACCTCGGTCTGTGGATCATGACCGAGCTTCTCAACGGTTGCCCTCCAGCCGCACATGAAGAATAGCTCCTTGGCAGCTTCGCACTGCTTGACATAGGCGTCCTCTGCCTTCTTGTAGCCTTGTTTTTCGGCTCCTTTTGCGCCATCCTTCACTTGGGATATTTCGGCATCTTTCTTCCTTTCGAGCTTCACCAGCTCGCGCAGGTACTTGTCGTTCAGAGCAATGGCAGCCTTCTGCTTTTCTGCTTCGGCCGAACTAACCAATTCGGTCAGTCGGCCGTTCTCAGCTCGGAGCTCGGCCATTTGCTTTCTGGCCTCCTCTAGCTCGGCCGTCTTCGCTTTGGCCTCTACCACGACTTGCATTGTAGTTTTTCTGAGCTCTAACACTTTCTTGTGAGTGACGTTGTTTTTCTGAATGGCCTGACAAGACAAAGACCTCCATTGAGCCGAAGTAAAAGTTGAAAAAGAGCCGAAGTAAAAGTTGAAAAAAACTACACAGAAAAACGGACAGAGCTACTTACCAAGATCATGGACTTTGTTGAAGACCGGATGGCCTTCAGTTCGGTGTTTAGTTGTTTTTGGTGGTGCTCCATATCTTTGGGGAGGCACACACTCTTGGCCAGGTTGAAGGCCAACTGATGGTCTTTCTCAGCAACAACCGAGTTTGAGTCTTGGATGTCTCGGTCGTTGAAAGTAAGTTTTGGTGCCCAGCTACCGGTAGTTCGGTCAGAAGGCTCCGGTTGAGGGCTTGGTGGCAAGCTCGGTGGAAGAGCAGGTTCTTCTTCATCAACCAAACTTCGTTCGGCTTCGGCAGTCCGGGCGCGCTTGGTTCGGCGGGAAAAGGACGGCTGTTGAGAAGGAAGGGCCACAACAGCAGGCTGTGATTGGCTTGGTGGCATTACTTCGGGCCTGGTTGTCTCGGTTAAAAGTGCCCTGACTCTGTTCTTTTTTGCCATCTCCTCTTCAGCTGTTAGTGGGATCAGTCTAATCTCGGGTAAGGATGGGTCTGGTTCTGGGGCTTCTTCAAGAAGAAAGTTAGTTACTCTGGCTTTCCGGCGACCACTGTATCGGTAGGTCGGCTCGAATTTCAGCAATTTCGCCCAACTACGTTCAGGATATCGTAGTGCGGCTCGCAAAGTTGCAAGGTTTGGATAGCTGTATAAGGAATGAAGGTGGGCAGAATCTGCGATAAGAGAACTGTTAGTTCGGTTGATAGACTAACAAACCGAAATAAAAAAAAATGCAAGGAAGAAGACCGAAGTTAAATTACCGGGCTCTCCTTTTTTCCAATTTATAGGTCGTCCAGGAATTTGGGCTTGAAAATCCTCAAAGTTCCCAGAGACCCAGAAAAAATCGTCGTCGTTTAAGTCTTTGTCCGGTGTATATTTTATTATCTTCTCTCGGCGGCGACGTATTCTAAGATAATAGACCCACCCATCTTCTTTTGAACCAATTGAATATTGGTGGAAGATTTCGGCCAGGCCAAGGTTTAGTCCGGCTTGGCGGTTAAGTTCGGCTATTCCCATGATGATGCGGTATGAATTGGTGGATAGTTGGGTAGGGCATAATCTAGTTTGCCTAAGAAATTCACAAATCAATGGTTGGACTGGAAACTGTAGTCTGGTTTCTATAATGGATAAAAGGGTGAAGGGGACGAAGCCTTCATTATCCCAGGGAATGACATCCTTTTCGGCTAAAGACAGGTGGACGTCATCAGGTATATTATAGTCCTTTCGGAATTCGGCTAGGCCGCCTAGAGTGTCTACGAGATACCTATACTTACCCATTTGTTGTATAATTTACGAATAAGTTATATCGGTGCAAAAATTGTGCTCAGTAGCTCGATTGAGCGCACGCAGGAGTGCCTGGGCAACCTAAGTCTGCAAAGTAGAAAACAGATGGGTTAAGCACAGATCATTGGACCGTGCTACAAATTAAAAGCAAGGTAAAAGAGCCCTACTTCGGCTTTATGGACAGGTTTTATCTCGGTTCAGTGAAATTCTTCTTAGCTCGGTTTGAGCAGGGTTCTTATTTGCCAGATCTTGGCAAGCATCTCGGCATACTGGCTTTGGAAACAATTTTGCTAGACCGGCTCATCGCCTAGGGGCAGCTTTCTGAGTTCGATCTAAAAAACTAAGAAAGCTGGTTTAGCCCCAAGGCCTAAATCGGTTGAACTAGGAGTTTTTGTTACTTCGATTGAGCCTATAGGGGCAGCTTTCTGAGTTTAGTTCAGAAACTAGGAAGGCTGGCTTAGCCCCAAAGGCTTAGCTCGGTTGAAGACCGGGGTTCCTAGTTTAATGAGTTCAAACGTCGTTCGATGAGCTTATCTCGGCCAGAGTAATTTGGGAGTTGGTAACCTACTGAAACTGCTGTTATTTCTACAAGTTCTAGTTCGGTTATTATCTAAAGTAATCTACCTATATAGGACAAACAGTTTCCTAGTTCGGTTGGGACATGATTCTGGATCAAAATCGAGTTGTCTATAGGATATATAGCATATACTCATAGGTTCTACTGATTTTCCCATGAAAGTACAGAAGCAAAAACAAAAATGTACAAATATGTTTCGCGAAAACATAGAAAGTAAGATGCGAAAGCAAAACAGAGGAAGAAGATGGGTTTACTTACCAGATTGAAGAAGAGGGAACTGGAGATGGAGCAGTGGCAGCAATAAAAAGCACGGGCTTAGAAGTAAAGAAATGGAGGCACAGAGAGAGAAGATAGGGTAGATGAATGATTCATGGACAAAGGGGTTGTTTTGTGAAAAGGACGAAAGGCAAAAAGGGCGGGACTGTTCAAAATTTTCGTAGTACGAGGGCAGCGTGACAGCTACCCACAGCCTATCAGAACCTGCCACGTGTCATTGAAAGTGAAGCGTTACAGTCACTGTGATTGAAGAGACGTTTTGACCGAACGAGTAGAGCCAGAGTGAAATACGCTCGGCTGGAGAGGCTAAACAGTTTTTTAGTTCGGCTAGAAAGGCTTAAAAAACTTCAGCTCGGCTGGTAGACGGGTAATCCCAAATCATGCTGTGCAGATGGAATTAAGGGGCAATTGAGAGGGTAATTTTTGGTGAAAATTGGGCCGAGCTATGAGTTGGACTTTATGGCCCAAAGTACAAAAGACTGGGTAAAAAGGGCCGAAAATTACTCCGGCCCAAGAGAGATGAAGTTACTCCGGCCCAGAATAGATGTTGAGTTACTTCGGTCCGGACAACTTGAAGTAAGACCGGTCTCAGAGTTAGTCCGGTCATGACGTATTTTGGATAGATCGGTCAGAACCTTGCTACTCGGTAGCTCGGTCCAAACACACCATGGGTTGAACAGGAGAAAACCGAGATAAGGAGTAGTAAAAGGAAGGGCCGAACTAAGTATAGTTCGGCCTACTTTGGCCGAACTAAGTATAGTTCGGCCTACTTTGTGGCTCAGCATAGCCAGTTTTACTTCGGTCAAATGGTAGTTCGGCCATGGTAGAAGCCATCCCACTTAGTTTAAGCAGTGGGGGAGGGTATAAAAGGATAAGCATTATCCTGTAGGAGTATGAATCCTAGGAGGACTCTACATGGAGGAATAAAAGTCCTACTAGGATTGTGCCATTCGAAACCTATAAAAGCTCACAAACATCACCTTGGAGGAGGTAATACAAAAACACAACATACAATTTTGTTTTCTGAATACATTGAGCTTTGTCTATTTGTCAAGTTTGCTGACTTAGGCATCGGAGAGGTTTCCGGCACACACCCGCCGGCTAGCTCACGTTTGAGTTTTCAGGTGACAAAGCGACGTCGTACGGAGGAGCGCGGACTTAGTCAAAAGGATTATACGAGGAGAATTATTTCTTTCCCGTACACACATCATCTCTCATAATTTTACATGTTTTTTCAAAAAAAACTAAGAAAAAAAAAAAACTTCTTAATTTTGTGTGCATGTTCTTTAGCAAATTATGCCTAACAATGCTGCTTGTTAATTTTAGTTTCTGGGAATTATTGTAATGTTGTGACAGTTAAAAAAAAATCCTCCTTTACCAAATGAACTTGATCTAGATCACCAAACATATGAACATGAATGACTATTCCTGTCTCATTACATTCCAGACCAATTCCAATCTACATGCCATTCCTACTCAAAGTAAACCAAACACTACCTAGTACCTAGGAGCAACCGCATCATATATTAGCGAAGAAGAAGAAGAAACAAGAGTGAACAAATCTGAGTTATTAAATCAATCGATCTTCGCATTCGTAGTACTCATTTTACATCATATGATTAATTTCAACTCTTCAACAACAACAGCTTAATTTCCTGCAGATTCAAACAGACAACTCAGTTTTTGAGACAAGAATCCCATCACTATCTGCATACAACCATTCACCGTCACGAATCAAAGTCCCTGCAAAATGAATGGTAACATGCTTTTCGCCAACCCCTTTCTTATTCGATTTCTGGGGATGCGACGCCAATGCTCTAACCCCAATATCAGAGCCGTTGATCTCATCAACATCTTTAACGCAACCATTGATTACAATGCCAGCCCACCCCATGTTTTGAGCCGATTGTCCCAAATTCCCTCCCAGCAATGCGCATCTCTTGCTTCCTCCACCGTCTATGACTAGAACTCTGCCTTCGCCTCTGGTTTCAAGAAGCTCTCTAACTAATACATTGTTTTCGAATACTTTGACTTCATGTTTGATTTACAAGATTAATAGTAAAGTATTAATAATCCTATTAAATTAGTGTGGTATTTATTGTTCAATTAAATTAATATCCATTGGATTAATAATCTCACCCCTACACCATTACTAATAATCTTACAAATTTGTTAGATTAATTATCCATTGAATTAATAATTCTAAACCAAAATATTAAAACAAACATAGGATAATTGGACTCACGGATTAATAATCCTAAAGAAGCGCTACATTTGAATCACAAGCTTCGGCAGTTACTAAAGAAGCCATGGCGTTCGGATCCTCTAGGGTGATTTCCTGAAGTGATCCTCTAGAGTGATAATTTATGATGCGACACGTGTCCAATTAATGAAATCAATGGTTGAGATGTTCCCTCTCCAAAACGACGTCGTTTTGGTTTTGATTTTTTTTTTTTTTAACAGATCGGGAAGGAGGAAGGAATGGGTTAGAGAGAGAATCTACTCCTTCTCTCTAGAACCAGACCCAGATCTCACAATTTCCAGCAGATGAATTACACAATTTCGAAACTGAAGAACCAGACCCAGATCTCACTTTGGGCTTCAAACCCTGTTGTTGGTCATTTGGGTCTTCATCAGACAGTGATGGTGATAGCTTTAATAGAGGGAATTCATTTCGGTCTTCATGAGTTCGAATTTTTATTTCAATTTTAAGCTTCGAAATTGATCTTCGTTTTTTTGCTGTGTTGGGTTCATGTGGTTTCTCTGCAAATCCATCCTATTTCATATTTCAATTTGTTTTTTATTTTTTGGGTGAATAATGAGTTTGAATTTTTATTTCAATTTTTGAAGCAAACTCTGCAAAAAAAATTGCAGAGAAAAGATGGAGGAGATTAGTTTAATGGGTTTGATCATCTTTCACTGTTTTAGCTTTTCCCGAGATTCGTAGTTACTCTCTCTCTCTCTCTCTCTCTCTCTCTCTCTCTATATATATATATATATATATGCATATATACATACAGTCATTCGATACATGAAGCTTTAACTTGATTCTCTTCTTGTTCAGAGCTTCTCTCAAATTCTTTTTCAGTTTATGTTTGACCTTGGTAAGATGAGTCCTCCAATGGCTGATCACAAGCCTAAATCGGACATCTCCTTCGCCGGAACGTTCACCAGTAGCGCATTTGCTGCTTGCTTCGCTGAGGTATATATCAAATTTCCAGATCGTTTCTATTGATTTTCATTTTGATTATGTATATATATATATATATGCATTTTGATTATGTTACTCTGAAGCTTAATTTCCACTTCGGTTTCATGATTTCTGCTTTTTAGATCTGGGTCTGGTTCTAGAGAGAAGGAGGAGATTCTCTCTCTAACCCATTTCTTCCTCCTTCCCGATCTGCAAAAAAAATCAAAACCAAAACGACGTCGTTTTGGAGAGGGAACATCTCAACCATTGATTTCATTAATTGGACACGTGTCGCATCATAAATTTTCACTCTAGAGGATCACTTCAGGGAATCACCCTAGAGGATCCGGGGACGCGAAGCGGCATACTCAACTGCAAGCAAGGACAGTCTGCAAGCAAGGACAGATCCCGGATTTCAATATAGGGACAGCGAACACATATACTAACAATTTTTTTAAAAAGAAGGTAAAAACTACAATATCAATTTATTAACTTAACAAGTGAAAAATGCAAAGAAAAGTGGACTGTTTCTTTTATTTTCCAAAAACAATCCACTGACATAAATCATACAACCAAGTTTTGAAAACAATCTACTTCTGTTTTTGAAAGTTTGACATAATTACAAACAATTTCTTTTTGAAGAGCTTTAAAGTAACAGTACTTTTAGGTTATGAAACACCAACACCTTTCTGAAAATTGTATTGTGTCCTGCTGTTCGGTATAGCGTCGGACACATTGGAGGAAGCCTAATTTTTAGGGCAAACTATCTATACGTCTTAATAGTTAGATTTAATTCTCATCAAATTTTATTAAAAATAAGTCTTGATAATATTATCGTTAAAAATAATTTTTTTGTGGTATTTTTTTTATATGTGTTGCTAAAAATTGACAATTAGTAATTTTTTTGTCATGATTTTTATAAATTGTCGCTAAAACTTACAATTAGTGACATTTTTTAATGACAAAATTTTCTTATGGGACTTATTAGACAATAATTCCGTTTATTAAGACTTATACGTAAATACTCCTAATTTTTATTTTATTTTTTTTCTTTTTTGGTCAGACTGCTGGGGGCAGTGATTTGACCTTTTTTTTTGTGGTATTTTTTTGTTTTTTTTAAATTTTATTTTTACGGGAGAAACATACATTTAAAAAAAAATAGATGTAGCATACAGGTGAAAATAAATATTCAATACAGAACAAACATATAATATTCAAATATATGATATCTAATAAATATAAAAAAAATTATACGTTATCATATCTTACAATTTTTAAAAATTTACGTATTGTTATATTCATGTCCATACTTCTTACATTCTAACTAAAATCCAACGACTCTATACAATCACAAAGATATTAAACTTCTCTTTATATGAGTTAAATTCGAGACTTTATATAATAAAGTGTGGTGTGACAAACTAAATAAACGCAATTAATAATTGAAAAATAATATATAAGTTCATTTTTAAATCCATTTTATAGAGCAATTGATTGATGTTAGAGAAGATATGAGAGAGTTATACATTTATGATGTGTTTGGTGGGGATATTTGCGAAAGAATTTGGAAAAAGAAAAATAAAAAAGAGATAAAATGTGAATAAAATATATTTATATTTTACCTAATTTTGTATACTTTCTTTCTTTTCCTTTTTAAATCTCTTTTCAAATATTTTCACCAAACACAACATTAATATCTTAATTAATTGTCACAACACTCAACTTAAAAATTGGTCTAATTTTTTTTTATCTTGAATAATGCTCTTAATAATTTAGAGATGAAGTAGAAAAAACTGATGAGATAATTTAGGGAATAAATTTGAAATTAACCCTATATATATTATCTTGAATAATGCTCTTAACTTTTTTTTTTACACATTTGAAAAAAAAAAAAATGGTAAAAACAAAAAAGTTAGCGCTTTAACTAACTTCTCAACGCAAAGCAGTCCATAGACACAAAGAAGTAGAAGCTTTACCTCTGGAGAAAACAGCGAGAAAGCGAGAGGATGGAGCTTTCGATTGATATCGTCGATGTGAAAGAGCTTCTCTGCTACTCTCTTCTTTTGCTCTGTTTCGCTAGGTTTGATTGTGTAGATATTATAGAAGGAACAGGGATAAGATACATACAGTTACGATGACAAACACGAATCAAGATGCTCTCCAACATCTCTTTCCTTAATTTCTTCTTTGTTAAGTTATTGGGTCTACTTTTGGATCTAATTTTGATGATCTGAATCGTTCGTATTTTAAGATTTGTTATATTATACTTATAAAAAATCAAATTGATCGAATATCAAAAAGTATATGTTCAGAAAATTGTTTATTAAAATTTTTTAAAAAATGATTTGTAATTCGATGATTCGAACACATAATTTTTTATATCCGATCAACTTAAATTTTTACAAATATGATACACTTAATAAATCTTAAAATATGAACAGTTCAAATTATCAAAATTGAATCCAATGACCTAACAGTAAAACATCTTTATTGGACAAACACACAAGGAAAAAAAAAATGACAAACGATCGGACCATTCATTGAGTCATTGAAAAGAAATTAGCGGCACGGCACCATTTCTCTTGGGGTTGTGTGCTTCGGCCCACCACTTAACTATCTTCAACGTAAGCAATGAGCCACAGCAGAACGGTTCTTGGGGGAATTTTTTTTTTTTTCTTTTTGGGGGTGGTAAATTTCAGTTTATACGGATCATGCCACGGGTGGTTTATCTCATACTGTTTGAAAATGATTAGATAGGGATAGTGAAATTTTACTAGCTTTTTTTCAAGTTAAAATTTACAAAATAATAATAATAATAATAGGTTAAAATAATTGATAAGATAAAATATCATATTAATTTATAATTATTTTATTTTTTTCTCATAAAAATCACATTTAAAAAAAAAAATTCAATCTCCCTCTCAAATAAAATAATTTTAATCTACTAAAATAATCAATAACTAAAATAGCAACTCCCAAACACTCACATAATTCTCACGTAAATTTTTTTTTTAAAATCAATTCTCACATAGTTTGTGAATTGAAATATATCGTTAAATATTTTGTGAAATTAAACAAGTGTAAAATATATGACAGACATAATGAGTTATATGTTAATTTTTCAAATTTTAAAGAAAAAAATCACACAGGAAATAAAAGAAATGGGTTAAATACTTTTATTTTTCAATTAATTTGGAAATAAAATAAAATTTTATTTAACTAAATTAATTCCACACAAGAAATAAAGTTGGTTACTTAGGTATAACATTATTCTTAGGTTATGTTTGGTATAGGTTTTTTTTTTTTTTTGTGGCTAATTTAGCTTTCATTTGAGATGTGGAGATTCGATTCATACGATTAATGTATTATTGATGAAAAATAATTTAAATATTATGTAAGTTAAAATCTCAAGAGAATCTAGTATAATTATATCAGAACTGTGATATTAATTATATTTTTTTTCAAATGATATGAGAGGTGAGTGTAATTTACTATTTTTTTTTAGAGAATCTCTAATCTATAGATTTCTTTAAATTTAAGTAAAAATTCAGTTAAAAATTTGATATGATATAAGTAAAAATTATTTCTGATACATGACTTTAAGTTTTAAAACATGATATTACAAATTTTAATGGTTTGATTTTATTTTTTTTTCAGATATTGCCAAAACTATTTACTGTAACATATAATTAAACTATAGAAAATACCTACAATATTCACACGGGTGAATATTACACAAAAAAAAAATCCTTATTATTATCTTTACGTTAGCTTAGGATATGGGGACTGGGAAGGGTGGGAAAGAACTTAGATTGCGGCTATCACATTTTTTCAATTTACATTAGAAGGGAAAGAAAAGTTGAACCTATTATGGCCATTGGACTAATCCCAAAACTTAGCTCAACTTTCATCTACTTTAACCTGCCACCAATTTAAACAACTTTTGATATCTTTTGCTTAACTTTTGACATTTTAAACCGACCAAATTAAAGCAATGATAAAGGTCATAATAGTTCGTAGTAATTTAAATTGTTTTAGTATCATGGCATTTGCATAAATTGATTAATTACATCAACAATGAAAAATGCCAAAGTCTAAATGATTAAGGAGTTAATATCGATAAAAATTCAAAAAAATCACAATGATTATGGAGGCCATGCGTTTAATGTGTTTAGAATACACTTAGATTTGAATTTAAAGAAGTATGACTTGGGTGCAGCCAATAGTGTTTCTTTTGAAACCTAAAAAGGAAAGCTTGTTGGAAAATTTAGAAGTGGATGGAATTGAATTCCATTTGAATGAAAGAGGGTAATCTTTTATGATGTCTATCCATATGAAAGGAAGTAAACTTAAGAGATATGATTATTCTAAAGGTCCAAATACTTCTATAAATATCATTTCATCCCATAATATTCATGCATAAGTTAAGATTTGTTATAGGATCCATATATTATGTCTAATCGAGTATATAATAGAGAGTGCATGGCACAAATTGGTTCGTTGTACACACAAAAAGTTGTGCAATTTATGTGTGGGGTAATCGTTGTATCCTGGAGGCAAGAGGTTGATTAATAGCAAGCAACAAAGGCGAGGGCAAAATTCTATCTTAAAGACATAGTGTTCAAACACTAGCCTCGATCACAATCTGTATTAAATATACAAAATTTCTATAAGAAATTTCTTGTGATCTACCTTATTATTTATTTGCATTAAATTGATTTTCTGAAAATATTTTTCTTACAATTTTAGGACTAAATTTTATATCTATAGTGATACAGATTAATTCTTTTTGGTTAAATTATTTTTTTTACAGAATTTGTGTAAGAAATTTCTT